AAAAGAACGCTCATGCGCGTACTTTAAATATCGCGCAGGAGGGCGTTATTTCGCGAAAATATGGTACCGTAATTTTTATAATAAAAGAATAGTAAAAATATTTTTTGTTATTTCTCACCTAATAATAATTTTTCTTTTCCAACTTTAAAATATTATTGATACTTAACAACTTTACGTTTTATACCATATTAAAATAAATTTTCAATTAAAAAATATATTTCAAATTGATAAAGTTTAATTATACCAATTTTGAAATATACAGTATTTATTGTCACGGATGATGAAATTTGGACCTAATTTAATATGAAATTTTTAGAAATTTTTAGAGTGTATTAATTATCTTAGCTTTTTTTTTAGTGATAGGTTAGAATTTAGCTTAGAAAAGAATATTCAAAAGGAGACCCCCAAATTTCACCATCATATGATATGTGTTAAAAATGTAATAAAAATTGGAAGGTTAAATTAGAAAAAAGAATTGTTATTAAGCGAGAAATAACAAAATATTTTTGCTTTTATTTTATTATAAAAATTACAATATTATTTAAAAAAAGATAAACTATAATAAATAGAATAATAATTTGTTTTTAATTATAGTCAACTCTTACTATAGTCACTTTGGCTAACATATTAGAGAATCTATATATTGTAAATTCTCGAAATAACGCCTAAGGTGTAATTTCGAAACTTGGCCTAATCCAGGCCATAACTCAAAATAACGCCGCTATTTTGAGAATTTACGGTATAATAACAACAGCTATGCACCTCTTTGACGTCAGATTAAAATTTCTCCCACACTTTCTATTGGTTGAAATTTTTTGTGATTATTTACATATCACAGTCCTTTTAAAAATGCGACATTTTGGTTAGGGTTAGCATTAGATTTGATAAGCAAAGTTTATACGTACCAAAATTTTGCTAGGAATTTTTTTTTATTACTTAGGAGATTCTTAGTTGGTTTGGTAATTTTTACGTTACACCAGGTCTTGATGCTGATTGGCTAAAATCGGAACTGTGGGGAAATTAGTAAATGTTCCTAAATGTGATTAATTAAGAAATGTGGCATTCGGAGCAAGAGACTAACCCGCTTTAAGCACATGGTCAGTTTTTTCCAATTAATATTAGTAAGATAATAAAACAATATTTGCGTGTCTCTATTTATTATGTCCAGATCAGGTACCCTTTAAGTCATCCAAGTGATGATTTTTACTTTTATATATAAAAACAAAAATTAATTCCCAAAGTAATAAATATTGAAGAAATTTGAGTGTTTATCATGTGTGAAATATCCTATTAAGCAAATCTCGTTGGTCAGGGTCCGTGTGAATTAAAATCTAAGATTTATGACGAGAATGATGGCTTGCGTACGTACTACGTCATGTGTACACGTCGTGTTACATAATAAGATGGCCAAGGCCAAGATTTTTTATTAAGAAATGTTGTATATAACGATAACGATACGTATTACTATATATATCACTGTATTAGCATTAGATTAAAAAAGTTAATTTAAAAAACCTTTATTGAAGCGACGAAATAAAAATATATACAGTACGTATTAGGGACAACTTGACTAGATGTATATATGCATATATATAATAATGATAGATTTAAAATAATCTTGATAATTTGCAAATATATATATCATATACAGTATAACTATATATATACTGTAATTAGGGTTAGAGATACTAAGTAAAAATGTTCATAATCTAAAATTTAAACTGTTATATATTACCTAAATTTTAGCAAAAAAACATATAACACCAACAACATCATGTGCACAATATAATATCTGATAAAAATATATGCTATTTGTTTAAAAAAATTTTTGGGAGCCAGAGCTTGGGATTTGGGCGTGGACAAACTCAAACACGCAAACTATAATATAAATAGCACTCTAGAGTCAAAGTTTATTATAAATATCCCACAATAGTGATTTTAGAAATTTAGATAAATTGATTCTCGTCACTCAGCCATAGAGAAACTTGCATGATACATAGTCTAGAAAAAAAATTTATTATTTTATTATAACTTTATATTTTATGATATGCCAGGACGGCATTTTGCATGCTAAGAGGACATGTTATATACATGCCAAATCATTTTAGGCCAGGTTCTCTACTCGGCCGGTAACTTGATATTATTATATCTGTATATATACATTTTATATAGATGAAAATAAACCTATTCATTCATATATACAATGTATACATATATATATAATGTAACGAATAATTTTGGTGCTCCGCGGAAGTTCCAGTCCATTGGGAATTTTTAATAATAAACCTTATCGTTATTGTATAAATGGATCGATCGGAATGTACTGAATATTTAACTATATATATATTTATATATATAGTTAATAATATATCTATATTTGATAATTGCATAAAAGAGAGCATTTATGCAATAAGAATGCACGCACGTGCATACGTACAGTATAATAGATAACTGATAATAAGTTCTTTTCTTACGTATAATGGAATCTCAGTATGTATTAAGTTTAGGGTTCAAATTGAAAATATAAAATATATAGTCCCTTTTATTTATTCGACGTTTTCCTTCGAAAAAATAGTCGAGATTTGGAACCATTTTTGGATTTAAATCAAATTTCAATTCAGCTTGGACTTAGACTCGAATGTAAAACTGAATGCACTATTATCGCTGTTTTCGAATTAGTGTGATCATTGAACCCTATATTTACTATTTTCACAATGGTAATATGCAGGGATTCATAGAGATCAATGATCGCACTAGTTTGAAACAGTGATAATATTGAAAAAATAGGGTATAGTCTGAATTTGAATAAATCCGGTAATATAACAATAGTGTTAATGTTTAATTATCGCATGAACGGATTTGTGAAGCAGGCAGATTTGCAACAGAGAATGGGTAGTCCATTAACACGTGCTTAATTCTGTCCCTAATCTACAGCGACAGTAATTCTGTATCGATAAGGTTAATGTTGGTTCTAAAACATGATAATTAGATCAAATAAATCAAATCATATAGAGACTTCTTTCAAATCCTAGTCCACTTGACCTTGCACTTTTTCTTATTGCTCTCTAATACCGCAGGTCGAATGAACCTGATTGAAATACCTTTAGGATACCAATCGGGTTCATATAGGCGTTCAATACATATCGGAAAGCCGATAACTCTATTGGTAAATTATTGATTTCCTATAGAGCTATCAGCACTCCGATATGTATTGAACGCCTATATGAACCCGATTGGTATATTAAAGGTCTCCTATTTGCGCCAATATTTGTTTCAAATCAGGTTCATATAGGAATTACGTGATGCCGTTTGCCTTCATTCGACATGTGTACATATTGTTAAAGTTTGATTTCTATAGAATTTTTTTTTTTTTTTTTGGTTATTAATAAATTTACAGTACGTGCTAAAAAAAAAAATTCTTTTGACAGTGTAGTTATTAGCATATGTGAATATTTTTAATGTTAATGATATAAAATTAAAGAAGCAAAGTTCCCCAATATACCAACGCTATTTTTAAAGATTTGTGTAACAGTTACCACTTTAACTAAAATAGCATACAAGTCTTTAAGAAACGGGACTTCACCGGTTTAACAACCACCAAATTACTATTACTATGCCTTGCCGACTACCACATAAAGTACCCCCTTCTCTATCATTGAGATTGCTGGATCCGTGAATAGTACCTGGAGTGGCCAGCGGTAATGCATGCAGCAGCCAAATAAGGTGGTCGTCTAAGGCAGTGATGGCAATTTGACAAAATTATTTCGTAAAAATGTATCATTTTTGTCAAAAATATGATTTTATCTAGTGATAGGAATCGACTAAAATTTTTTAGTCTACTAGTCAGTCGACTAGTCGTATAATATATATATATGAAATATCCGAGTCAACCAATCTCAATCAAAAAGTTTATCCTGCCGTAAACATAATTCGAATATTTCTACACAACTACGTTTGTAATTTATGTTCGTTTACAGTCTATCTCGGAACATTTCGGATAATTGTTATTCTTATTTTTAGTCGACTAATAAAATTTAGTTGACTAATTGATTTTAGTTGACTTAGTTGACTAATATTTATTCGGTTCCTATCACTAATTTTATTATGGTTTATTGTCATCGATATTTGCCATTTTGCCACTGGATGTACAATCATGTGACCGCAAGCCAAGAGAATTTCGGTAATGGACACAATTTTAGGTAACTCCCAAATAAGGCATTAACTTTAAACTTAAATATTTCGGCACCTTGATTTATCCGGTCTTCATTTTATAGACCTTTCATAAGAGGTTAGACCACCCAATTATGCAATTTAAAATTTTTAAGATATCTTTGCGACCCCTTAACCAAATTCGTAAAAAATTTTTTATCGAATTTGGTTAGGTGGTTGTTGAGAAAAATTTGGTCTCAGATTATATTTTATAAACAATTGAATTTGGTTAGGTGTAGAGAAGTGCAGGCATATATATTACATAATGATTGTAACTTAATTACCTAAAAATAATATTGCTATATAAAAAAATTTGTCAAAATCGTAAAATTAGATATATAAAAAAAATTGGCAAAATCGTAAAATAGATCGTAATTAGTGACTATGATATGTCTTCACCCTTAGTTAGGTGGGATCGAGGCATCTTAAGCTTAAAAAGATATCTCGGTAATCACCTAATCAAATTCAATGAAAAAAAACAGTTGGCAAGATATTTCTGTAAAATGTGATACGAATAACAATTGAGGCCATTCTTTCATAAAGTTTGTTATATTTGTTAATTTATATTAATTTCTACAATGCCATTTATATAGTGAGCTCATTTGTTGTAATAATAGTAAGATCGAAATGTTACAAAAATATCCGATTATGTATATGGGCTTAAAATGTAAATGTAAATAAGATAAATTTTCTACGTATTCCGAAAAAAAACGATCATCTTTTATTAATTTTTTTTATTATTCATTAAGAAAAGAATCCGCGAATTTAACAAATTTAATTTGTATAATAAAATGGAAAGTGCCTTCATTAAATCGATTCAAGATAAGAAAATAAAGGTAAAATTTAAATTTCTACCAGAATAAAAAAAAAAAAAGAACAATTACTGGTATTAAAATATTTATATTGACAATGACTAGGATTCAGTGTCCTTCTCATCAGGAGATGACATTAACGATGAAATACGAATAGAATTCGATGAAAAATCCATTAAACGTACAGATTTCGTGCAAAGTAACGCAGCTGTATCCAGAAAGCATCCAATGTATATGGAATTTTATGGAATTAGTTACTCAATACCAATTTCCCAGAAAAAGGTGGTTGGTAAACAATCTAATAAAGAAACTGGGAAGAATTCACGAAAATTGATTATTCAAAATATTCATGGATTTGCTGGACCTGGTATGTATTATTCCAATTTTAAGAGCACAACACGGTCAAGAGTTGTACGATCACGTGCCATAACATTACAGGGGAAATCTTAGCGGTAATGGGCCCATCGGGATGCGGAAAAACTACTCTTTTAAACGCGCTCTCAGGTCGCGTAGATGCTAAAGACTTGGAAGGGTCAATTAAAATGAATGGACATCAATCAACTAAAGATTTAAAGCGTTTTATAGCCTATTGTACTCAAGATGACGTTTTTTTTCCATACTTAACAGTTAGAGAGACACTCTCTTATACGGTATGTTTCGAACTTGTTGCGCGTTGATCAACTTTTTTTCTTTTCAATACAAGATTATTAAAATCATTTTACCAATAGTCCAGACTGCGTCTTCCGCGTGAAGTGCCCACTAGCGCAAAGCTAGAGCAAATGGAAAACGTAATTCAAGCGTTAGACCTTTCAAAATGTTCAAATACAAAAATTGGTGATGCAAGAGTTCGTGGAATATCAGGTGGTGAGAGGAAACGGGTTAGTATTGCAAACGAACTGTTAACCGATCCTAGTATTATATTGTTGGACGAACCCACTTCTGGTTTAGGTACGTAACTAGCATATATCGATATCTGATATGTGATTACAACCAATCACGTGACACCAAAATAATTATATCCCAAAGATTCGTCATTAGCATCAGAACTTGTGAAGATTCTAAAAGAATTTGCGGTAAAGCAAAAAAAAACGATAATAATGGTTGTTCATCAGCCCTCATCACAGGTTTTTGAATTATTTGATAGGCTTTTACTAATGGCAGATGGACAAGTAGTTTATTTTGGTGATAGAGCGAATATTGTCGATTATCTTGCCAACGAAGGATTTGTTTGTCACCCTAATTTCAATCCAGCTGACTATATGTGTATGTATTATTATTTTAGTATATACAGTTTTATATAATAATATAAGCTAATATTTTGACGATTTTAAAACTTAGTGGAAATTTTGAATGACACAACAGTAAAACAAAAACTAATATCTGCATATACACAAAACATACAACCAGATTCATCTGGTAAATTAGTAGTAGAAAGATGTTTTAAAAGTCCCACAAATCCTGATTACTCGATAATAAAAGAATCTTCAAAACATAAATGGGAGGCAACATTTCTTCAACAATTAATGATTCTTACAGAAAGAAGTTTTAAACAACGTAGTAAAGTTTTGTTATCGAAACTAAATTTCTCACAAATATTTCTTATGGCGATACTTATCAGCCTTGCTTGGTTTCAATTACCTTATATTGAAGCTAATTTAACTGATCGATGTGGTTTGGTGAGTAAATAAAGTATCTCTCCATTAGCAAATATAGATGACACGGTAGAATAAATGCTGATATTTACTGTTTCTTGTGATATGGCGTAACGGGGACTTTTAACAATTTTTTCAATTTAAAATTTTCGAGAGAAATATAAATAAAGATTAATCATCATGCGATCATAGTGAAACAGTGAATAAGAATGATATTAAAAACTTTATAATTAACGATAAATCTATATCTATATTTGATATTATTTATAATGAAAAAAATTTATAGATCTTCTTCACGTAAGTTAACGTTCATTATTATTCAAAAACTAAGTACCAAAAAAAAAAAAAAAAAGGGTAATATTGTTTATTTTAACAAAATAATAGAACATCGTTTTGGGGATTTTTTCCATCAACGAACACATTATCTGCATTCCCACTAGACTTTAACGTTCTTAGAAAAGAACGTCAATCACGTTCATATCGACTTCTCACGTATTTCCTCTCGAAACAAATCTCAGAATTTCCACTTATCATCATTTTTCCAGTACTTTTTAATTTGGTTACTTATTGGGCTACCGGGTTGGTACCAGATGCTAGTAGTTTCCTTGCATATGTGGTAAGCTTATCTTCAATGCTAGACAAATATAAAGAGGAATTAGATAATAATAAAAGCTTAAAAATAAATAGGCGACCGCAATATTGTCGACTTTAACAGCACAAAGTATTGGTTACCTTGTTGGAGCTACTTTTATGGATATTCAAAGTGCAATAAGTACATATCATTACATGTTTAATAATAACTTAATAATTAAGATGCATACTAATGAATTCTTTTTAAAATAATCAGTGGCAAACACAGTTACCATGCTAGGATCCATGATAGTAGGTGGATTTTATACACGCACTTTACCATCTGGGTTGATATGGTTGAAATATTTCGTATGTATTTGTATCTTGTATTATTGTATGTACTTAATACGATATCATATATTTAATATCAAGTTAACAAATTATTTTTTTTGAATAATAGTCATTCATGTTCTATTCGTATTCAATTACGATGCAAATACAATTCAGTTCACCATATGCAAAGTTCAAGTGTTCAAATAATGGTCAACCTAGTGAATATTCACAATGTTCAAATGGTTCTTCTTCAGATGGTTATATACCAGGAGCTGCTGTGTTAGATCATTTAAACCTGAATGAATTGCCTTGGTATGCTAATTTATTAATATTAATTGGATTTTCGCTTATAATTAGAAGTTTAGCTTATTTTAGTTTGAAAAGGAATAGTAAAAAGTAATTTGTTAATATAATATAAACATTTGTTAAAATTATTACAGTATTAAAGTATTTGAGTTAAAATTATAATTATAAATGAAACAACTTATCCCAAAACCGATTTTTAAATTAGTTGCGAACCCACAACTAAACAAAAAATCTACTTGCGGGTTAAAACATTTATTTGCCGCATAAACCACCCCCTTATAGTAGACTCGTTCCTGTTACTTGGATTCAATGAAAAGTACAAAGTATAAGACCTGGGTCTATTATGTGGTCACGTATTATATACCCGTCTTAGGGTTGCTTGATTTTAATTGCAGAATTAGTCAATAGTTTTTTTACCGCACAACAGACCCACCTCATAGTAGACCCTGAATCTGAATCAATGTTAAAGTAACAGATCCGGAGTGGTTTATGTGGCAACTTACGGTATGCACATGGAGATTTGGTCAAAATCTATAGGTAAATTTTGCAAATTTATTTGCGGAATCCGTGTATGCATTTCAGATTTCAGCTGCGGAAATTTAAAATTTTGTTGCAGAATACAGACTCCGCAACTCAATCTCAGTATACTGAGTTATTATATTTAGTTTCACCAGCATTCACCAAATTTTTACCAGTTTCACTTGCAACTCTAGTTATGAGTAGAGATTTTTCTTATTACAGTCAGACCTCTCTAAGTGCACGCCCTTGGGACCACACTTTAATAACGTGCATATAGAGAATAAGAAAAAGTGCATTTATGGAGGTTAAGTATATATTTGGGCCGGCACTTGAGCGTGCATTTAGAGAGGGTGTGCACTTAGAGAGGGTGCACTTAGAGAGGTCTAACTGTATATTATCTATTACCTCTCATTGACCTTTTAATTTCAAAAAAAATAATATCTAAGTTTCAAAATGTTAGTTTCTTAGATTATAGTGATATATATACGCGTCATAAGACGCATTGAACATCTCTTGGAGGTTCTTAATTAATTTGTCATTTCTTAAAGCGGATAAAACTAATTTTTTTTAATGCAAATATGATTATTTTTTTGATCGAAGAGTAGATAACAAAATTATGTTAAATTAAAACTTCAAATTCCTTAAAAAATCATTTATGTAGAGAACACTTAAATGACGTTTTTGATGTATTAAAATTTACGTGTATCAAATTTGATATTCACACGCGTGATCATCTAGTGTAACAATTCACGCGTTTCCCACGTAAACACAAAAAAACTATTTAAAGACTCAAAACCTTTTTTTTTTGAAATTAACTTTTCTTTTTAATAAACGTCTTTTGTGAAGCAAAACAAAAACTAGTTTATACTTATCACACACAATCAATTAGAAATTTGGTGCTGATATACCTCCTCGCTTGATTCAAGTGTTGCCATGACCTAAAGAAAGAAGGGCGTTTGCATATGTTCTTAGAAAAAACGTTAATATCGACGTACAAACCTTTTCTTTTTATCTTAAATATCTTTTTAAACTTCTACTTTATTATTGTGCATTTACTATAACTGAAAACTCATATCGGCGAATTGGTTCTGAATTGATTCTAAATTGTATCTTCAAAGTCATCCGCAAAATGAACCCAAAATTTTGTAGCAACAAATATACGCACATATAATTTTTAGAGGTAAATAGATACAATAACGGCGTTATTGTATCTATTTACACCTTAAATTATCTTTTTATGTAAGTATACAAAATTTTTGGTTCATTTTGCGAATAACTTTGAAGATTCAATTTAGGACTAACTCGTAAATCCGCCGATATTTATAAAAACTAAGGCGCCTTTCTTGGCTGAAGTAATATTGTAACCTTTGGATTTTTTTGAAACTGCTATAAGTTGACTATTAGTGTTTTATTGATTTGACGAGGGTATCTAAATTCTAAGTATAGGTACAAAAATATTACGCCACTGAGTTATATCCCTACAAGTCATTGGATAATGAAGCTAAAAGTAATAATTGGCTATTAGGTCTAACTATGTAATTTTTGCTAAGAAATATTATTATTATTATTATTATTATTATTATTATTATTATTAGAATTTTACGCACCTATGGTGGTTTTACACCATAGGCCCCGTTTCTCAAAAACGTACTAAGTAAACGGGATCGGGTCCTCTAAGTAAAAATGTTCAGGACCCCCAAAAACCTCACGAGAACTGAGATCGGGCCCTATCGGGCCCTTATAGTAGTTCTATAATATATTATATAAAAAAAAAAATAATTCTTAATTTCCTAACCCTAACCCTAAATTTTATTAAAAGGAATTATACATAGGTGTAAAACCACCATAGGTGCGTTTTATAATAATTCTTATTATTATTATTATTTATTATTATTATTATTTATTATTATTATTATTTATTATTTTTGTATTTTTTTTTAACAAGACATGGCTCATTAAATTTTTATATTATCCGATAGTTTACTATGACCGGAATCAAAATAATTTCTTGTTATCTGACGGATTCATGGGTATTAGTAGAATAATAGCAATAGCACGTGGCCGAAGGCCTTCATGCGTTGCAACTATACTGTCGATGTCCATGATTCGTATATCATGCCAGACAATATATAGTTATTGGATGCTTCATATCCAATAATTATATATTACGAGTACGAATTTTATTATATGGATCTATTGTTTTTTTTTTTTTGTACTATAAATTTGTTGGTCACTGTGCACAGTACCCAGGGCCTTATTCAAGAACTCTATTTTTAAAATTGGATAGTACTCGTGGATACTGTGTGAAGAACCGGGTACTATATTTGGGGAATATCATTAAAAGTAATGAATCAATATCTGATAGCCTCAGATTTTATTCAAGAAACAGAATGATAGAGATGGTGAATGATACCCGGTTTTAATCATGGGAGGTATTATTTTTGAGGGATATTGTATACAGTGGTCAACGGTGTTTGTAAATTTATTGTATTTGTGATTTAAAATTGTAGTGATATTGCGTATCAAAGTTTGAATAAATCGGCAGTGTTTTGGAGGCTATAATTATATATATATATCAGTTTTGGCTGGTAGAATATAATTTGTCTCGTCTTTGGCCAATAATTTCAAATTTTAAAAAAATTATACCGTGAATTTTCAAAATACGGGATGAGCATTATTTTAAGTTTTGTCCTTAATTTAGGCCAAATTTCGTAATTTTACCCCTGGGCGTTATTTCGAGAATTTACGGTATTTGTTAAATCAATGTTGTAAATTATTTTCACTTTTAAGTTAAGAATAAGCATAAGAATAATCTGGCAACTGGACAAAATATATTAGATTAAATAGTCATCGATTATGTGCACGATAATTGAAAAAGTTATAAATGTGGAAGCTTTTAATGAGCTTCTAATAAAATACTGATTTATGATATAAAGACTGTAGTCATAGTTGCTTATAAATTCAGTAGTTTATAGATTCTTAACACTAGAACTATAAAATTCATTTTAAAAAAAAATTTCTATAACAACTATATAATACTGCTATTTGTTTGACTTATTTTAATTTGAAATAATTTCACATTAATTTCAACAATTTTTTTATAAGATAATTTCACCCATCTGTATATGCGACCACAATAAAGATTACAAATTTATTATCAGAGAAATTGACAAAACTTCAGATGTGTTCAACCGTATAGATTTATATAGAAAATAAATTAGTCAATAAATTCAAAAAAAAAATTATAAATTTATAAATTAAAAGTAGCGATCAAATAAGATCAAGTAAAACGGTCATTTTTCACAATAAAGACTTAGCAATAAACTCTGTCCAACACTTTACAAAGCGTGGCATGTTTATAATATGTGAAATTCCGTCGTGGATTTTTTCTCATTTTCTACATTTACACAAGAATAATTATATGGTATAAATACTTACAAATGGTCCTCATTCATTGTGCTAACAAGCGCGTGATAAATTGATTTACACAATCGAAATAAACTAACATGGAATGACTGATTTACCAACTGAAATGCAATCTATTTATTTTGCTACTTTAATTTTCTTAAAAATTAGTAAAAGCATATGAATTATTAAAATTATTTAAGTCACTCGAAACTCAACCACTCAACTGTTATTCAAAGCCAATAGCAGCTTAGATGAATCTATATTAAATCTGAAGCCGGCTTTTTTCCTCTTCTAACAGTCTTTGTGCATGAAGTACATCTTCATTATCTAAATTATATTGATCTTCATTAAAGTATATGTTCATTCGTTGAATATCAATAATTCTATCTCGATTACTACATAGTAAGTACAACGAAATTCGCTTTAGTACAATATTTATATAATATTATGGTCAAAAAAAGAAATCATTTACCGTCCGGCAATATTCTCGAGCACTTTATCTCCAAAATCTAGTTTTTCAGGAAGTTTGCATACAATGTTTGAATCAGGGATCACATAGAAGTCCGAGTTGACATCTTGTTTTGACAGCATGCTACTCAAATTTCTTTGATCAACTACACGTCTAATCGATAGTAAAATTAGTAATTTTTCATAATGAAATAAGAATATATATATAAACAAAACTTACAATGAGAGACCCATCTTGTGAATGTTACGGATAAAGAGTTTATCTTCAAAGGTCCCGTTTGTGATAAACCGATATACATATACTGCTTTTTTTTGATTATATCTATATACCTAAACACATGTTTAAGCAATAAATTAAATCGGTTGGTAAACAATTTATTCAATATTATGATATTTTTGTGCATTGCTTACCCTTCCAATGGCCTGTTCTGCAAAACTATCGGAAAAAAAGAGTTAGGCAATATAAGATTAAAACTACAAATGTATTAAATAATATCAAACCTTGGATTCCATTCACCATCGACAAGAATTACTCTATTTGCACCGTACATGTTTACTCCAAGACCACCAGTCTATAGTTTATAAAGCTGTAAATTTTATAATATTTTAATCCAATTAAGCAATTACAAAAAAAATGAATGCTCACCTTTATTGATATCAATGCAACTTTCCAAAATTTCGATTTATTAAAGCTATCGATAGAACGCTGCCGTTCCTAAAAATAAAAAAGTGTTAAAACGCACTCTAAATTATATACAATTATTAAACATAAAGTAGCATGAATATTGCATTACTTTAGTTTGCGTCTCTCCATCAATCCGTATATAGGTGCCATTTTTTAGAATCATCCTTTCGATATAATCTATTACACAGTATAAAATAAGGCTATAGACAGTCAAATGGTAAAAAATTTTTTTTAGGATGACAAGAGCTGATACATACTCAGCGTCGGTATTGATTTTGAAAATATGATGACTTTATCTCCTATTTGCTCGCACTTAATTAAGATCTCTTTGAGAATTTGCATTTTACTCGACTCAGAAATCTCATCAAGACCTAAGAGAAAAATAATTAATATTAATATTTACATTAGAAAACTATAATAATTATTGTAAAAAAAATTCATTTATTCACCTTTATATTCACGGCAAATATGATGCATATATTCGCGTACAGTTTTTGACCTAATAAATCGTTAGCAATAATTACCACATTCACAAACAAGATTCTATATATATACAAATGTGCAGAAATAAACATACTCATTGACAGGTATAATTGTATTATTGTCGGTCAAATTTTTATTTTCCTTATCCAAGGTATTCTAAAATATAATTATGGTTATTTTATTATTACAAATGTAATAACTAGAGATGTGCATCTCGCGCGAAATGCTGATATCATTCTATTGATTCTCGCACGAGATAATATAAATAAATTACTATAACCAATAAATAATACTTACAAAGAAAATAGATGGATGATTGCAAAGGATGCCTATAATATCAAAGAATTAGGTTTGCAATCGCAAGCTAGATATTCAATAACAACTGATATATATAAAAATACGAACTTAAAAGATCAGCATATCGTATCACTTGCCCACCTGCACCTACTGCGCTGAGTTTTTCGATTAGCGACTAAAGACAAAGATAAGTATATGGCATAAAATCAAACCAGTCAAGGTCTAATGATAAATGGCACATACCTTATAAAGCATCAATTGTCTGTTCATCATTCGACATGTGATAAGGAATTCACTTTTCGGTGGAAGCTCGCGTTCAAGTATCGATACATTCCGCCTGCAGGTCATTGAATGAATATTGATTGGAGGGATTCAATATAGAAGTTAACAAAGATATATAAAAAAAAAAATAAATACCTATGAACGATGTCCTCTATTATACGACTAAGCACAAAAAGCATTTTCCTTGAAGTCTAATTATAAATATAAAAGATCTATATTTAAAAATTACGCGAACTCAATCTAAGCAAATATATATCTATCTAAAAATCATACCTTCTTCTCTTGGGAATCAGCAGACTCATAAAGCCCATGCTCGATTGGGTTAATATAAACCCTTTTGAAGTCTTCGAGTGATCCAAGGTAGTTTGGACAAACAAAATTTATCTACAATTATATTGATAATAAGAAGTCGTTTTAATCACAAGAACAACTTTATTTGGAAAAAAGTAATTATCTACCGTGCACCAGTATTCAATCTGTGATAAATGGCATATGGATAATCATATAAGTATTAAAGTAAAGTCATTACACAGTAATGTCAACAAAGTCATACCAAATTGTTCTGTAAAGGAGATCCGGTGAGTATTATGCGACTGGGTGTTTTCAAATGCGTGAGCGCTTCTTGAAGTTGAGTCTAAAAAAATTATAAAGTTGCAGTCAACAAGAACCTGAATCTAAAATTGAGAAATATTAAACTCTTTACCTCTTTGTTCTTTAGAATATGACCTTCATCTGCCACAACTAAAGATGGACCAGGATTTAAGAGATATTTGCGAAACTCGGATCTACGGTCATCATCGACTTCACTCATTACAAGCTGCCTGAACATATCATAATTAATTAGGAAGACGCCACCCTTTTCGTCTTTTTGCCACCTATTTATCAAATCACGTCGCTCTTTATAATCCTTAATTTCTAAAATGAAATAAAAAGTCATTAAAATCTTTTGTGCATGGAAAACAGCTTGTTTATTTTCTACACTTTACCTCCTAATTTATAAACTGTAAAAGCATTTTTCAGATTATTTTCATTAAGCCAAGACATAAATTCATTTTCCCAGTTATCAATAACAATTTTTGGGCAAAGAATTAACACTCGAAAAGCCTGTAAATAAATGACATTAAATTTCTAAAAAATTTAATTGTGATTCAAGTAGATTATATATTTACCTTGAGATGATCACAAATTGCACGAGAATCTGTTGATCGAACCGTGTAGAGCGTATATAAAAAGGTAATAACCTGTACTGTCTTTCCTAAAAAAGGTTTTGGTATATAGTTTATCATTTTTAGTGCGTACGTATATCACACAACTTCTTACCTAAACCCATAGAATGTGCGAGGACACATCCCTTGTTAAACATAACGATATTTTTCCATAGAAATCGTACACCTTCGATCTACATAAATAAATGGTAATTATTATCTAGCCTTAGAGAAACAAGTTGAACACCACTAATTTTAAATGCAGTTGATATGTCAGGTCGCATAAAAAATCAATTTACATCTCTTTTTAATATATTAATCTAATTATTTATAATCTTCACAAATTCGATAATTCCAAATACTGATGTATACTGGCTTTATGAGGTTTAACATACGTTAAAGCATCGATAATTACCTGATGAGGCTTCAATTTTTTACTTAATGAATCAGTAATGTAAATGTGGTCTTCATTTTCAAGATGTCCAAGATTAATAATAACCTATAAGGTTTAAATAAAACCATAACTAAAGTATAACGCTCAAAATAAAATTCAATAAAATTTATTCGTACCCCATCCTTTGGATCCGCAAGCTTTTCTTGCCTGCAAATCTCAAGTAAATCAATTTGGATAACAATTATACAAACCACTATAATAACGTAACAGTATAAAGGTTTACTCTGCATATCGTCTGCTGTAACCTTGCTCAAGTGCCATTCTTTCTTTGCGCTGTTCAATAACTTCAGCAGTTTCTCGGAACCTTTTTTTTGGACGGGATGAAGATTTACTCCCGGAAACATAAGTCAAATCATCATCATCACTGTCTCCAATATAATTTTTTTCATAACGCTCATCATCAGAATCCCTGTAATCCAATGAGGTAAATCAAAAAAAATGTTATGCAGAAAGATGAGTAGTAATTTTAAATTATGAAACTTGCCTTTGAGTTACGCGTTTATTAATAGCATATTCTTTTCTAAATTTAAAATAATTGTCCCATGACTCACGCGCATCAAGTTTTCCTTCCGGTATCAGAGGTAGCACTCTCTTAAGTTCTTCAACAGCTTCAGGACTAAGCATAGATTTAGATATCGCATTCTGAAGCTGTAAGTAAAGTGTAAAATCGTCATTTATTAAAGGAGCCATCGGCGACTTTTTTTTCATATCTTCATCCCAATGCCAGTAAAATATTGCCGATTGTATTTCTTGCATCAAATCTTTAAAAAGTAATATTGATAATTACATGAATTAGGGTATGTCAAGCTTTGAAAAGTGTGATAAAATGCTATTTACCCTGTGGATCATATTTTAAAAAAAGTTCATCGGATTCCACCTCCAGAATCCTTTGTTCTTCCTGTTGCTGGTGATCTAGATATGCATATTCATCATCATCATCATCATCATCATAGATATATTCATCATTACAATCCAACTCCATATCGTTGTCATTGTTCACCTTGGAATTTTCCGCACTATCCGAACCTCGCGTGCTGACTACCTTCTCTGGAACTTTATCACTTTTTTCAATAGTCTCATTATCATCGTCCTCAGAATCGCTGTCCAGTATAATTACTTCTATCTCTTCTCCGTGACGTGTCAGATGGTTCTCTTCAACATTGGAAACACTAGACAATAATTGAGGCGATTTTTTGTCTTCATTAACGGACCCTGACTTATCAATCGGTTGTTCTGATGATGTATCTAACGGTCCTGCGACAGATACTTCAGTTCCCACAGGTTCTGTAATTTATTTAATTAAAATAATGCCGTAATAAGAAATAATAAGAAATAATAAGAAATGATTAACAATGATATCTGAATATTTTCGCACCAATTATAATTCCGGCTTCTCTGAGTTCTGCTAATTGTTCCTCGGTGTATGTGATTTCAGAGTCGTCAATGAAATCAGACTCATAACTATCATCGCTATCATGCTCTTGATTCATCGTATCTTTGTCATCAACAACTTCTTCATCAGCCTAAAACGTTAAATTTATATATATTGGATCATAAGATCAAGCTGTATATTGATATATATTGATATAGCTTACCTTGAGCATTTTTTGTCGGGGTTTACTGTCAGGCTTGGGCGGTGGTGGCCCCTTTGCCAGCGATACCTTCCATTCTAGTAAGTATATATCTCGTAAAGTTGGATCCAATATTCCACATTGTCGTTTAGCATCTTTATCAAGTGTTGATTTTGATTTAATATTTGATTTCACATGGTTGATTAATTGAGGGAGGCGCTGCGTTAATTTGATTAAGCATTATTATATACGTTAATTTCGATTTATAATATTTGAAATATTACAGATAAAAAATTTAGCACAGTGGCGTTCATGACCATTTTTTATACTATATAAATAAAAAGTTCAATTCTTCAAGAATTTCTTTTATTATTTGAAAAAGAGCTTGTTTATTTAATTTAATATATTTTTTTTCAGCAAAACAAAATTCTAAACAATAAAGCTTAACGTAGTATAAATGTGTATATAAATTTGCATTGTCAATCTGATGCATCCATTTTGAACGACATTGTATAATCTTACCTCATGATTTAATTTGCGTAGTTGTTCTGTCAATTCATCGATAACTTTTTGGGGTTCCCGTTGTTGTTTTCGTGGGAATAATTTCCTCCAATATTTGTAGCGTAATGTTTCTATTTTCTGTAATCTGTACATGGTAATTTTATAGAAAAAAAAACGTTATAATTATATGTAAAGTATTGGTGGATATTGAAACTTACTCTCCATCTTCCCATATTTTCCGAAAACTACTAATATAATCAAGAATCATTTGATCTGCGTGATCAACTTGGGGCTCCACTAGGTTGTCAGACGTTATAACTTCTGACTCTTTATCATCAACATTTCTCATAATAAAGAGGCTTTGCTCCCCTTTATGTTTGATATCCTCTTCCTCTTCCATTACTTCTTCTTCGAGATCGCTAGAAATATAATTGTTCTCTTCATCACTTTCACCGTATACCTTTGTTGAAGAGCGAAACGGATGGTTACATACAAATTCACTTATTAAAACGATTCTCGTATATAAAAAATTGGAAATTTACTGGAAGTAATTCATCTTCTTCCATATACATCCAATGTCTAAGATATCCGTAATCTGCTTTCACTTCTTCTGCTCTTTTAAAATCATCTTCCGTAAATTGCTCAGCTCCATATGGTGCAGCACGAAAACGAGATAATGGTTCTTCATCCAAGTGTATGGAAGAATCTACATTTTCAACTAGATCTTCACTTAAATTTGAATCATAATCTTCATCTAGACCTCCTTCATCATTTAAATCTTCGTCATCATCTAAATCCATTGAACTCACTTCGTCGCCAGACTTTTCATCACTTTCGAACATTTCGTCATTACTAATGCTAATGTCGGTACCATCCTCAAGATCGACTATTTCTTTTTGAGATTCAAATGGTAACAAAGTTGATGGATCCGGTGGAAGAATTAAACGAGCAATTGGAGGGTGTGGATTATCTAGATAAACAAAATAAACAAAATTGTTAAAGAAAATATTCTAAATAAACTAGCATCTCATTTCTAATTTATTAATAAAATTAAGTCTTGGAATGTTTATCTAATAATGAAAATTAATAACATATACTACACGATTATTCTTACCCCCTTGAATTGCTTTAGATCTAAGCAGTTCTCTTGTGTTCAGAAAAACATAATGATCTTTAGAAGGAACATCAAATCTACGTAACTTCTCTATGTTGATCTTCATCAAACTTTTGCCGTCTACATTATTTTCTATAGGAAATAATTGTGCAATCAAGGCAAATGCATAATTCTTTTTAATGTGAATGTAAGTGTAATAAAAAAAATAGTCGCGTTGCACTTAAGAGTTCATTAACGCGTATTCTCTAACAGCGCGCGTCTGTACCTTTGAATATTTCTATTAGTCTTTCAAAGTTTTCTTGGCGAAGCCAATCGCAAACCTCCTCTACTGACCATATTTCTGGATTCATTTGAAAATGTCGAATTTTGAGTCTTAGTTCAATGACGTAATTAATTTTTGAATTGTTGCACAGAAAAAATGAATCTTTTTAATGGAAACACACGAGAAAGTTTATGTACGTACGTGTGTACGTACGTACATACGCAGACTTTTAACCTTCTGTCTTTGAGTCAGCATACGGATCCGGTTTCAGGTTCGGAAGACAGAATTTCGATGATCACATGATAAAATCTCTGAACATGATTGGCTATTATGTCGCGTATAACAGATAACGTTCGCGAATCATGGACCAATCAAACATCGGTGTTGCAAATCATCGTTCCTGATATATGATCAAAATTTTCGACTGAAACTTACTAGAAAAATGGATGAATTATTTGGTTTGCGTAATCTTTTCTATACAGGTAATTTAACTCTTAAAATTCATATTTATATACAAATAATACAAAATAATTTTTTTTTTTACAACTTACAATCAGGATCCTTTCAACAGGTGATAAATGAGGGTAGTAGCCGTACATCTGTTTCAGAAAGCGCAAAGTTAGAGCGCAAGATATACTTGTATCGTGCCTACATAGCACAAGGCAAGCATAATATTGTTATTTCAGAGATAAAGGATTCTGACCCGATAGACCTGCGCGTAGTTAAGATTTTGGCTGTATACTTGCAGTCTAAAAGTGGTGGTCAGGCTTCCGAAACAAAAAAAGAGGAAGTTCTTAAAGAACTTAAAGAGATAGTGAGTGATACTGCAAATGCGTCGAATGCAACTGTTCAGATTGTTGCTGGTATGATTTATTATCATGAAGGTTTATTTGAAGATGCATTGAAGATTTTAGTTCGACATAATAGGAATTTAGAATGGTAACATTCTTTGACATTATAATGTGATTTTATTTTTTACAATGAAAACCTTTGTAATTTTTGTGACGATATCATAGTGTTGCGTTGATAATCCAAATATATCTACAGTTAGATCGCTTAGATCTTGCAAAAAGAGAGCTCGCAGCAACAAAAACCTGGGCAGAAGATGCAATGCTTGCCCAATTAATAGAAGCATGGGTTGGATTGAGAACTGTAAGTTTTTTAACCTTTATTTAAATTAATTTTAAGCTTAATAATTTTTTCATTCAACCTTTATTAAGGGTGGCGACAAATATCAAGAAGCGTACTATATTTATGAAGAAATTGCTCAGTCACCATCATCCAACACGGTTAAAGTATTGAATGGACAGGCAGTATGCAATATTCATCTTGGTAGATACCCAGAAGCTGAAAGCTTATTGTTGGAAGCGCTAAATAAAGTACATAAATGATTAATTTTGCTTGCTTGTAAACATTATGATTAAATCTGATTTACGTTACCTATTCTCGCAAATCGACTTTACAGAATAACAGTGACCCGGATACCCTTGTCAATCTAATTGTGGTATCTAATTTAATAGGGAAACCTACAGAAGTTGTTAATCGGTATATTACGTAAGTTCTTTTTATACCTAAATATCTTACATTTTAACGGTCCTTAAAATACGATTATAAACTCATTCATTATCAATTACGTTAACATAGACAACTCAAAGAAGTCGCACCTAATCATGTATTTTTACAAGACCTTGACCTTAAAACAAGTTTATTTGATCGTTCTGCGCAGAGATTTGCTCTCGCATAGATTACACGCATCTTTCCCAGTAATTATTAAACAATTCTTAGATATATAAAAGATTCTTAGATTTACGATACTTGTAATAAATTTCGTATTTAATAGTTATTTCCCAACATGAATGTTGTTACATTACAAATGTGTTGTGTTCAAACTGAGGATTAGTATTAAGATAAGCGTTGAATGAAGTTTTATAAAACCGTCTTCGTAAAAATTTCCGGGTATCTTTGATATCTCTGACATAATAAATTGATTTATAGTTAATTATTTATTTTATTCAATATGACATGGAGTCTATAAACAAAGAGTCTCTTCCATTGCAACACTATTCCATGCCATAATAACAATTTTCTCCAAATCGGACTCAATTAATTTTCCTTCAATTGGAATAAGATCAGAAAAATATGCAACATTGCTGATGAGCAGTGAACTAATTAGGTGAATTGTATCCGTTCATATATGGGTCTTTGCCTTGAAAATGACCTTACGGGACTATGTAGATTTTATGAATAAAAATTAAAATTTCTAGCCATCCAATAATCTAATTCTTTTTTATTTTGTAGAACTCACTAAGCTCTACAAAATAAAAAAAAGCTTATTTGAATTGGATTACTGGATAGCTAGAAATTTTAATTTTTATTCATAAAATCTACTTAGTCTCGTAAGGTCATTTTCAAGGCAAAGACCCCATATGTCAAACCATAATCGATTTTTTCCCGGTTGCTTGTGCACTGTACAAAGTTTCAAAATTAAGATATTTACCTAATTTATATAATATTAAGATTTCTTTTTGTTTATGGAGAATAGAAATAAAAGACAAAAAATAATAACATAAATATGAATTATCACTTTTGGAATGTAGTATGTCTGATAATAGATTGATTATAGTATATATATATAAAAGGCAATTTCTATTTGTACAAGAGGTGTATGTACATGGGTAATATAGAAACCAACTGATATCTCAATATTTTGCTTATTAAATCACCTTTTAGCTTATAACAAAAAAAATTTCTTGAAAAATTTTAGTATAAACTATAGCTCACCCCAATCCCAAACCCAACCTTACCCTAACCATAAGCAAGGGTTTAATTTTTCATTTATAAAAATTGTTTGGTTAGCATGTTACACAAATTTGTAATTCAATAAATCATGTAAATTTATAAGTTTACTATATAAAATATTATATAAAAATTAAAAATTATTCTCAGAGGTGTAGTTTAAAATTTTGCCCGAATTAAGCTTAATTTGGAGAATTTATACACCGTTACACAGTGAGTGAAATAAAATTCTGTGATTTACGGATAATCAATTTGATTCTCGAATCGATGTGTAAATTATTCTTTTTTTTCTATATCATAATTTGACAATTACAACAAAACGTTAACAATTATATCTAAATATAGCTTTATCAGGAAAGAAAAAAAGCAATACACTTGCGGAAACGCTTATCGAACTTTCAAATCCTGCGCCAATAGGTTAGTTCGGTAATATTATTCAAATAGAAAACGAATTTATTAACCATTTAGTGGTTTTTTTTTTAAATAGATATTGATCCAGAAGAATTTGGAGAGACTTTCCGTACATATGGATTCGAACAAAGTGATGAAGAAGAAGGAGACAATGAAAAATCAGACAACTTAGGAAGAGAGCATTATGTGCAAGTTGGGTGAGATTCGTTCCTATTGATCACTAAACTATAATGCTATAATTTATTATCTGAGATAAATTCTATCAACAGTAAGAGTTCTCTTCGTCAGAACTTGCAGTTTATTTTAGATGATCCAAAATATGTCGGAAAAAGAAATAGTAGAAAGGCTATTTTTGAAGATTTTGATTCAGAAAGTGATGTTGAGATTTCATCTCAACAAATCAATTATAATACTGAAGATGAATCAGATGATGTGGACGATAATAAATGCTTCGACAAAAAGTCCTCCGATACCGAAGGTGACGATGAAAAGGTTGAATCAGATCTGGAAGTTATAGATTCATTGGATAATGCATCATCTATTCGTGAAGAATTAAGAAAGATTAAAGAGGATGAAAGGTATTAGAACCTTTCAAAAAGTTTACATGCCTATTCCCGCGTTGTCTACAATTCGAATGTGACATCCATCTAGGAATTTATTACAAAAGATGACACAGAGTGCTCAGGAAGATATAAATAAAGGCCATCATGTTAAAAATCAAATTGTATGTCATTTAAACATTACATATTCGTTTATACTTTTGCTGATGTAATTATAAACATAGCAGTACCTTGCATTATTTAGGGACTTTGGGATGTATTCTTAGACACACGTATTCGTCTGCAGAAAGCAGTGGCTATATCAAATACTTTTCCACAGGTAGCTCCTTAGTTTTACTTATTCTCACAATTTAAATTTTTATTCTAATTCTATTTTGTCCATCAATATCGTTACTTCAGCCTGACGCGTATCCGCAGTTTCTTACATCTGAAACCAGGTCTGCAATTCAAGAAACACGAACAGAACTAAGAGAACTTATTGACTCTCTTATAGATTTAAGAAAGGTAAAATTAATTTTTTATATTGAGATGTTAAACTTGTTGACATCAATCTAAAGTGGATGTGTTCAGGGCCTATGTCATGAAAATGAGAATATTGTTATCACTGAAGATACCGCAAATAGCCGAAAGCGACATTTGGAAAACGATGATTACCTAGAATATATGTGGAAAGACATGCAAGAGATTGATAACTTATTTTTGCCTCATCGGAACCAAACAATTGAAAAGTGGAGTAATAAAGTTCAAATGGCATCTGGTATACCTCTCAATAAAAAGTTTAAGGCTATCAATCAAAGTGTTAATGATCAAATTACGCACGTTTTGTACGATCGAGAACGTTTGATTAAGAGAACACAATTAAAGAGAAATGCAGACAAAATTTTAGGAAAAGCAAGTTTGTTCATATGTATTATTTGCCTATTTATTTTTCCTGCCTATTCTTGGACTCACCTGAGAATTAATTACTTAATTGATTTAGGAATCACATAAGTCGCAAGAATCCGATGCAAAGACATATGATGAACACCTATCAAATTATGATACAGAAATATTTGATGATACAGATTTCTATCAACAATTATTGCGTGAATTAGTTGAAAGTCGTATGATAGATACTGGTATGTTAATTTCTCATATAAGATAGAGATTATATTAACGAAATTAGTGTTATTGATTTTTTTTTTCTTTTTTAGATGATCCTGTCGCGTTAGGTTTGCGTTGGGCAACGTTAAAACAGACTAAGCAAAAGAAAAAGAATGTAGATACTAAAGCTAGCAAAGGAAGACGATTACGGTAATTCTTAGTGCATATACTTTTAAGACAATTATATCATCCTTCATTTGTGCCAATTCTTTTTACTAGGTATCAAGTTCATGAGAAATTGCAGAACTTTATGGTCCCAATTCCCTCTGGTACATGGCACGATGACATGATTGATGAATTATATTCATCATTATTAGGTAAGAAATATGATGGATTGGATACTGTTGAAAGTGAGAAAAAAGAGTTTAATGATAACAACATAGAGGCTGGATTAGATGGACTGCGTATTTTTGGAAGTTGAAAATATTTATTAGTTTTAACAATAAATTAAATTTATTTATATAAAGTGTCTTTAAATAATAATTTTTTCAGTGTTGTGTAGAATTAAAACTGATTAAAAATGTAAATATTGAATTGTATGTTGAATTGAATAATAGTATCATTTGTTTAAATAAAATAAAGAAACGAGATTTCTGTGATGATGATCATTTAAAAAAAACTCAGTTAAGACCACTTAACATTGTCTAAAGTTCAGGCTCTAAAGTTATATTGATCATAGACAACAGGGAGGTATTCTGAAGTGTATTTGTCGAGTATTTGCGAATTGTGATGAGAAAATCATCTTTTCAAAGAAAAACTTTGTTATAAAGGCATTAAAGAGTTGCCATTGGGAACTGCTCATGTTCAAAATGCAGTTCAAACAAATAGCATTCTTTCTAGTTACGATTATTAGTAAGTTTTATACCGACCAAAAAGGAACCACTTATTTGAAAGTCCTTTCATTGCAGTCGGTATCTCCACAGGTATTTAACCCCAGTGGGACAATTCGGATAATATAGCACAAAATTTTATTGTGATGACCTATCTTAAGCTATAAATTAAAGTTGTTCAGAATTAACTTTTGCATATATGCGAGCATTTTTAGGATATATTTATATGTTAGATGAGAGTCAGACAGTCCAAAAAAGCCCAAACATTCAAATTGTATACACTGTTTAATTCTATGTGTATCTCAAACACAGTATGTATTATACATAGCTAATCTTGCAGATAATGATCCTATATTTCCAATTCCAGGTAGTGTACGTAGTAGTCGACCAACTAAATAGAAGTAATAAAACATCGATCTTACTTGATTAATCAAAGAATTCAACAAACAAATAAAACAGTTATGATAAATTCTATCCACATTTAGATTGTTTTAAGATCCAAAAACCACTTAAGTTATAAATAATTTAAATCTACAGTATCATTTTGGTATGCCTTTGGAAATAGATATTCATTGAATATCCAATATTCGGTTACACAAAATTCATGGATAGTCAATTGATACTATATAATTGATTCGTTTATATTCATGAATATTTGCGCGTGAATATATTCATGGTTACAATAATAGATGGATATCCTGGATATTCATTCAATGCTATTCGTAAACATCAAAACCCGCGAATATTTACTGAATAGCCATGATGGGTATCAAAGGATCCAACCTCTAGCCTTTGGCATAAGAAATTCATGGTTAAAAATATTATGAATTTCTCTGCCATTATATTTTCTATTAACTTAACAGAATCTTGCCAAATATTGTAGTTGCTTTTATAATAAAATATATAGTATATTAAAATGTTATAATTCTTTTTTTAAAAAAAAATGTTGGGTTAATAATATTTTTATTATGTTTTTCTCTTCATGATGGTTTATAATCAGTAATTGTAATGTTATCATGATATTTTAAAATAATTTTTTTTAAAACATGATAATATTATACGTATAATAATCACAAATTATACGTATATATAGTAATTATAATGTTATATCGATATATATGAAAGTCACCAAGTCTAAATATACAGTAGATTATTAAATAATAATTTATAGAATTCTTCAGTTTTCACTTACAATGCCATTTTTCATCTTTACAGCACAAGCTCAAAGCTTCTATTTGAACCAGTGCAGATAGATGATTCATTGGTCCATAAAACACTTCACTAATCTTCTTTAATTCGGTTTTTTATGCTTCCTAGTCCACTTGTGCCATCTGATTCAGGTCTTTTCCTTAGAGAAACGGTTTTTTACGTACAACTTGGTATTGAAAATCTTTTTTTAAAAAAAGCACTTTAGGAAATAGGGATAATTGAAAATTAAACAACACGTTAACATTATGGTATCTTTTCTTATTCATAACATTGATTCACAATTTTCTTAGAATGTCCAATATCATGGAATTTTTCATTGCTTAAACAATGAAAAATCCTTAACAGTTTTTAATGAAGTATTTGATGTGTCGGAAATACGTGCTTTTTCAAGCATTATTAACATATGGCACTCGCCTTCGGTGAGATCGTTTTTACGACCTATTTTTTAATTTTATTAAGCATTAAAAAAAAACATTTTATGACAATATTTTTGATATCACGGCTGGCCTTTATGTAATGTATCTGTATTGTCGACTATCAAGGCACAAGCAACGGATCCAAGTTGGTGCCTAATGTATTCGCTATCAACATCATGTGCTAAAAGGACCCAATGAGTTAGCAAACTTGATCTCAATGAGAGGTTTTCCTTTAAAATTAATGTGGCAGCTTATGCTGAAATTGACTGATGCCAAAATTTAGAGTCCTAATTTAAATCCATAATACCTATAAAATTCACATATACTCTTTTATTAACAACTCTATCCCCAAATCCTAGCCTAACCTTAAAAAAAACCTACACAAAAAGCCCTAAAAATTTTAAATTTCACAATAAAATAGGACAAGATATCAGCATCAGCATCAGCTGCCACAATTATTAATATTTACCATCCTCGATTTCCCCCCATCTAATGGTTTGTGATATAGTTTCTATTTGTGCAGCTTTTGAGGCAAATTCTACAGTTAGTTGTCGTTCGACTAGACCGAGTCCTATAAGAAATGATTTTGTGAGCAATGTAGCACGCTCAAAAGCTATGTTAAAATGAATATGATTTAGTTTTACATGAACTTTGCATTGTCATTCATAACGTAAAAAAAAAAGTATCATTAGAAAGTTATGAGTTACCAGATAATTTCAAACTATCAAACTCTTCAACTATGGCGCGTAACTTATTTTTTGTTTCTACCGGTTGCTTTGCACCAATAATGCCATTGGTTACTTTTATTTCTACACCATATGTTTCTTGAGCCCATTTCACAGTTGGATCCCAATATTGTTTTTGAAGGTCAACCAAAATATCAGGATAAGTTTCTTGATAACTGAAATTTAGGTAACCCATGATTATCATAGATTTCAATAACGCAGTAAGAGGCGATAATGACATTGTTAATTATTTACCAAACTGTATCAGTATCAAAATATCGAATTAATCTTGTTATTGCTTCCTTCCTGGATGAAGGGTCTTTTTCAAATGAATCAATTGATCTTGCGATAAGAGATGTCTGTAAATTTTAAAATTTCAATACAAGAAATTATATTTTAATCAAAGTTACTTTACGATTAATATATTTTGATTGATAATTGTATTTGTACATGCCAATGGCAATGAATGTTGTTTCAATAAAGATTTTTGGGATTCCCATTCCCCAGCAATCAATATTGCTAAATATTTATTAGACCGAGGGATAACTAAAGGAGCGCCTCCTGGTGTTTTTATCGGACGGTTATCAAGAGCTACTTGATACACATCTAATAAGTATTGAAATATGTTAAAATTCGATAAATATATTAACGTAAAAAAAAAAAAAGAAGATAAACCTTTGTTTGATAAGACAGAAACTTCTTTCCAAAATCTGCGAAAAGTTTTTTCTGCCTCTAAAATTAATTCATGACATAATTTTTAACGAGGATTAATAATTAGATATCAATTCAAAAATTTAATTATTTACTTTTAGTTGACGAAACTTGTTCTTCATTTCCACTTTTTAAAAATCTTTTTTGCATTAAATTTAAATCAACATTTCGATATGTTTTACGAGAATACTTCGAGAGTATCAAGTTGATTTTACGACAGATCATCTTAAACTAATTCGCATATGCTGGAAACAGATTTACCATATAAAGAAGCGATAGATTATGAATCACGTATGATACGAAGCACATTCAAGAAAATATATACAGTATTACACGTATTTTTAAATTGATAAATCTTCAATCTTAATTTAAGAATAATAAAACGACTTAAACATTTGCCAATTCCAAATAAATTGACTTTTATACAAAATCAACTTTATCGTTATCTATAACTATTTAATGGTTAAAATACCAATAAATGATGTTTTATACTGAATATTGTAGTCACTTTTTTTTTATGCTATGGATGAAATTGCTCTCAGACATATCTAATCTTTATTATTAAACTTATTAAATACACTTTCTAATTCAATCCATATACCTCATCATAAACAGTTTCGTAATATCCACCATTTTCCACATTCTCTCTAACAAAATTTTTTACGTAATCAGTTACACACAACTCTAAAGAAATCTCTTGAAACACTTCAGAATAATTTGTTTGAACAAAATTAAATTTTTTAGTAAACAATGTGATAGATGCATGATTTTTTACAGATATTTTTGCAGTAAATTTTGAGATTTTTAGATTATTGATCGCGTAATTGAACATTAGGAATAATGAATTCGTGGCTAGACCTGATCTATAGTGTGCTTTTTCTGTTATTATAAATAATGAAATATTAGAATAAAATTTGAAATGAGTGACTTATATGATTCTAGTTAAAATAAATTTTATAACTGACCAAACCGATAAAATTTTATCGGTTCGGCTTAACCAGGAACATCGGCAATTCCTAAAATATTTACATGGCAATAGCCTTATAAGACCGAATGAACAAAAATTGGCTCAGCCAATTTCTTTAGTTATCGGCGAGGCACTACCATGTAACTTAAGCGAAATTTAATAAAAATTGATAAATATGTTATTACCAGCAATCATTATCTCTATTTCAGCAATAGTTGAATTATCATGATCATTAAAGAACAAATTTACATCACCGATCATTTCTTATTATTTAAATTGAGAAAAAAAAAATGATAACGTTAACATTAACAAAAAAAAAAAAAAGATGTTAATATTTTAACGATAAAGAAAACCTCTAATTATAGTACCAAGCATTAGAGATTAAGACTAATATCTAAACATCATTTTTAAATTTTAATATTCCAACTCACTGGCTGTTTTTATTTCCTGATTTGTTAGCTCATGGTCAACATCTGGCTTTAACAATATTATAAACGTACATTCTATTAAAATTTTAATAAGATAAAATGGATTTGTTTCATAACTCAAGATTAAAAATTACATCAAACTATTACATTATAGAATTGAAAAAATAAAAGTATGTACTATTCTCATCCGTGTGCCATGATCTTTGCATCTCGTATTCTTGATCAATTGTTAACGGCTCCGATGCAGTCATTTCTATTAATCAATTATCAATGGTATTCATAATATTTGCTAAAATGTGGGCATAAAAAATTGCAAAGCTAACCTTGTAGAAATGAAGATTGCATCCATTCATGGTATTTTGGTACGTGTTCTGGTCTATATGGAACGAGTATAACTTTTTCTCCAATCTTTCAAGTTTATGAATAGATTTGTATCAAGTACACTATTAACAACAGTAGAACAAAAAAAGAAATATACACAATATCGATATATATACAATAACCAGATTTTCGTTTGCCTTCATGTCAAAAATGAATAGTTTTTTTTTTTCAAATAATAACATGCGTACCAAGGATAAGCCACAATGGATAGTCATTTGATTCTCTGATTGGATACAATCGACGATAACTGATAAACCAATTATAAAAAAAATATATCATTCAATATAATGTTTATTATTATATATTTGTAAAAATATAATTAATATTCTAAAAATACATCGATAAACTAAAAAACTACTAGTATGACTAGTATATGTATATAGAATATTACCCGTTAGCCACTATCAAATAGTGCCCAGGCCACACGACAGGGACGTCGGTACTAATGGTGGCCCAGAAGACGATAATAAGTAAGGAAAGAAAAAAATACTATTCTAAAATAAGATACGAAGTCTATTCTAATTTAAAATGTTCCCACCGAAAACGCGCATCAAGGTGAAACCCATCTTTTAGTAAGGACAAACACACTTCTTGGGTTAAACCCATCTTTTAGTAAGGGCAGACTCACTTCTTGGGTAGAATCACGCTAGAAACGTTAAAATAACAACCAAAACCCTGCCGTAAAATTGGGTACAACAAATAACGTAGACTAAAATAATAAAAATACAAACTGTTACGCCCTAGGTCACGAGGCCTATACTGCACCGTGACCACATTCCCGAAGGAATGTCAACTAGTGATTTTGGCCGATAGCGAAAAAAATCGGCTAAAGGAAATTATCGGCTTAGCCGGTCGATTTTTCTAAAAAAGGCCGAAAGTTTTAGGCGTAAAATTGATTCGCAAATCATAGAAATAAAATTTTTATGGCAGGGCTTATAATAAAGATTTCCCGGTCCTATTGAGACCCGATTAGGAAATTGGCTAAGCCGACTAAGCTGACCAAAATTTATCGGCCAAGCTTAGTCGATAAATTTTGATCGGCCACATTCACTACAGAAGACGATATTAAACAAGGGAAAAAAAAAAATACTATTCTAAAATAAAATATAAAGTCTACTCTAATTTAAAAAAAAAGTTCCCACCGAAAACGCGCACCAAGGTGAAACCCATCTTTTAGTAAGGGCAAACACACTTCTTGGGTTAAACCCATCTTTTAGTAAGGGCAGACTCACTTCTTGGGTAGAATCACGCTAGAAACGCTAAAATAACAACCAAAGCCCTGCCGATAAATTGGGTATAACAAATAACAAACTAAATATTAAAAATACAAACCGTTACGCCCTAGGTCACGTACAAAGGTCTATTGCACCGTGACCACATCCCCGAAGGAATGTCAACCATGCTCCCACCCTCGCATGGCCATATGCGTTCCTCCCAAGAAATTATACAAAAAGTTAATACAGTATATTTGGTTCATATGAAAAAGCGATAATGATAGCTTACTAGTTCGTTAAGCCGGAGAAAGGAGAAAATTGACAAATTTTGACATGAAAAATTTCGCGTTTTTATAAATTTACGTTACACGACAATCAGGGATGAGCGGATGATTAAAGCCGTATACCCACGTGACTTTTCGATAGTTTAGTATTAGGAAAAGGATAGACTTATAGGTAAAATTGTCTCCCTGACATTTGTTGTTAATGTTCCAAGACAAAGTTTAGACTGCTTTTTTTCACATTTTTTAACTTCAAATCTCGCGATCCCGGCTGGTTGATTTACGCAAAAAAGTCACATGAGTACATGGGTTTTGACGAACGACCCTATATATTTATTATATAATTTGAAACAATTTTAAGCAAATATCACTGTACATATATAGAATAGCATATATATGTACTGTCTTTATTAAAGAATGTAGTTCTAATTGATAAATGATCTGCTAAATATATTTATAATCTAAGCTATTTTACAACTAGTGCCAAATAAGCCCATTCTAATTAGCATTCAACAATAATGTCATGCTTATTTGGCACCACAACAATAAGCTCCCCTAAATGTTTTTGAAGTTTATCCGACTCACTACCCTCAATATCCTCGACATACACATACTTCAAAGTTTTTTTCCGCATATAAAATTTGATTAACGAATTGACCACCCTTTCACGATCATATGAAACAGCCACCATCTCGCAATCCCTTTGAACATAAAATAAAAATTTATTTAAAGGTGCATCACAATTATCTAATAAAATATCAATATGCGGATTTAAATGTCCTCTCCCTTTCCATCCAAGATATTGTAAAGTTGGTGGAAATGATTCTGCAAAATGTTTAATTCGCTCACTCATAACTTCATCAGTTTCACTTTTATTTTTATACCAGTCTAATTCAAGAAATTGAAGCTTGCGTAAACTTGAAATTGATGTCAAAACATGAGAGGCAAAATGAATATATGAAATGCTAAGATATGTAATATTCGGGCAGAATGTCTCAAGAGCCGTAAATAACTGGATTTGTGAAGGAATTTTTGAATCAGACACAAGCTTAAGCCGTTGTTGTGATAATCCAGACTTTTCTAAAATTTGAATTAAATCTAAACCGTCAAGCTTTTTTGACTTTATCTCCAATATATTAATTTTACAAAGGTCTGCAATATATGGTAGCCATTTGTTACTATAATTAACTCGAATAACTTCCAAATTCTCACAATTCATCAACAGCTTAACATTTTTGTCTAATTCTTCATTATCGAGACAGTGTTCTAGCTCTAAAGTGCGAATTTTGATGGAATTTGTAGCCAAAATTCTTAATAACATAATGTACTTATCAAGATAATTGCCAGTTGATAAACTTATAGTTAATTCTTGAAGTTTAGAAAAAAATCGATCATTCTGTCTTAATGAGTGAAAGATATCTGATTTAATAACCAAATTTGAAATACCGTATCTACTTTTAACTCCATTGATACTTAATTTTGATAAAGTAGCGCCACTATCAACAAATAGTCCAATTAATAAATTAGCTACATTTTCCATCTTACACTTTTCTAACTCAACACGTTTTTCAAATTTAAGCCAAGTTCGAAGATTATTTACAAGGCGATAAAGGTCGAGAACTTTTAAAAATTTTTCGTAATTAAAAAGAGTGGTAGGAAAGTCAATAATTATTCCATATTGACTTAAAATAATTTTGTCGACTTTAACGGCAGATGAAAAATATCTTGCTATGAACTTTGGTTTTTTACTGTATAAAAAAGGATTTTGCCAGAGAATAGGGATTGAATATTTGCACCAATCTCGGCTTACTAGTGCGCAAGAATATAATGAAGGGAGTTCATTATTTAAATCGTCAAGAATTTTTATAAGTAGCTCAGGTATATCGGCTATTTTTGATGCCATAGCGATAGGTTTTTTTAAAAAAATTTTTTTGACGTTGTTGGCGATTTTTTAAGTAGCGCACCCTTATAGATTACAAAAATCTCCCACTATAACGTGATCTGTGATAATCGAAATAAAAAGTTGTAATACTGTAATAGTAAATTAAAGTCGTGTTTTTTACTATATAAAAGCTGTATTATTATATAAGAATACAATTATATAGTGCGTAGGAACGTTCATTACCATATATAAAAGGTTTCACAGAGTATAAATGACCTTACGGGCTATGTAGACTTTATGAATAAAAATTAATCCAATTCAAATAATTTTTTTTATTTTGTAGAACTCACTAAGCTCTATAAAATAAAAAAAAGTTTATTTGAATTGGATTACTGGATAGCTAGAA